TCGACTCGGAAACTCGCTCCTAGTACTCCTCGGTTGTCCTTCTGAGCGGTAGGATTTAGGCACAACCGAGGTTCACGTGTCCCCATAATGGCGTCATCACGGGAGTCTTCAGTGAGTACAGCGCAACAAACCGTGATCGCAGGTAAATTTGCTCGTGTAAATATTCCATTCGAGGAGCAGAGATAATGGAGAATTGATGATCTGTTTTATCTTCTCTTTTTAGGTTTGGTTTCCACTGTTGCCATAGCGCCAGTTACAAAGCACACACCTGTTCAAGTACCCCGTATGAGAACGACTGGGACGGAGATCTCGATTACACGGTTGAGCGTGGCAGATACCTGGTGGGAGTTAACAGTTACCATGATAATAACCATCAGTAAGTATCTGTTCAGTTCCGTCTTTGACTAGGCTAAGCAGTCTGTACAAATCAACTTCAGGAAACATACGTGTATATCACAAATATAAATTTGTTTCAGTTTCATAGACAAACACGCGCATTTCGCTGTGGGCCATCTTTCCGCCGCTGACGATGCAGATCAATTCACGTCTGAACTGTCCTGGTTGTTTGCATTTAGCTCTTAAGCTTTCTGTAGCCCTTAGCTATTACAGTCATTGTCAGCTAATGCCACTATGTGTAACCTCTTTTGGCCACCGTTTACTTTTCAGCACTTAAATAAGCACTGTTTTTTTAATATGCTCCTGACGAGAACGTTTAAGAAATAGATTATATTTACCTTTTCTAGGGATCGTCGCTGGTCGTTCCATTACTGCAAAGTCAGCAAATGATTGAACGAGACCTGGAATGCAATTCCATTAAAGCAAGCCCAAGCATTTGTTTTTGAGACCTTTTGATTTAAAACAAGCAGCATGAACGCTTTTGTGGTTCACCGGCGGTGGGGAATTAAATAAAGTAAATAATTAAGATTTTTACAGTGAATATGTAAAATGAAACTAAAAGTTAAGGTGCTTTGCTGAGCCAAGCTGTATGGTGATGGGATCATAATAAAGAATTTTCAAAAAGGGATTCTTCATTGTTCCTTTTGCCTCATCACGTGGAGTCGGGGGTCAGAGGGGCTAAATAACTGATAAAGATTTGCCATTATACAACTTTAACATTCACGTTGAGATGTTTCACAGTGCCAGTCAATTTTGAAGGGCAATGTTACCATCGTTGTTCACAGACTTCCCAGGGGTAGGGGCTGGGGGGTTGGGTTTGGTTCAGTAAAAAGACACATAAGTAAACTAAGTGTAATAAAGAGGCCATGCAGAGGACAACTTTGATCTTTTTTCCTCAGGCTAAAGTTAGAGTTGCACAGTGGCTGTTTTCCCACACAGATCATATTTATCACAATCTTACTTTAGAAGAGAATTAAGAATGTCAGCTACTAATGGTAAACAATGTAAATTTCAAATCGTTCTTCGACATGAACCAATGTTATTGCCGAGGAACTGATA